AAAAAAAAAAAAAAAAGGAGGGGTTGGGTTCAGTGCGAAAGCCCAGCATTTACTCCAGTGCCACAAAAAAAAGCTATTATTAAATACATTCAATGTGTTCAAGAAGATGAGGCATGAATATGCTATGGAAAGATGTGAAAGATATAAAATAAACCCCCTTGAACTTCTAGAGATATGAATGACAATGAAATGAAAAATGTACTGGATGGAATTAAAAAGCAGATTAAACACTGCAGACAAACAAAAGATTAGTGAACACGAAGACTTAGCAGTAGAAATGATCCAAAATGAAATACAAGGGAGAATACAAATGTGTATATGTATATAGATGTAGATATGCAATGATGAAAGCTAGTAGTCCCAGCTACATTGGAGGCTGAGGCAGGAGGAGTTTGAAGCTAGCCTAGGCTACAACTGCAGGCTGTCTTGAAAACAGCAACAAAACAAAAAATAAATAAAAATCAGAAAATTAGTGAGCTATGGAATAATATCACAGCTTTATACCTGTTTGGAGATCCGAAAAAAGGAAGAGTGACAGGAAAATATTTGAAGAAATAATAGCCGAAATTTTTCCTAACTGGATGAAAACAATGAACTCACATACCCAAGAAGGTAAATAAGGCCTGAGTTCCCAAACAGATGAATGATGCTCCCTGAAGATCCATCATAATCTGTCTTTATCATTGCGGAGCAGCGGTAGAAGAGAAAAAACTTTAAATGTGGCTAGAGAAAAAAACAAAACACCTTCTGTAAAGAGGAAAAACAGAAGCAGACTTCTCAGAAACAGCATCGGCCTGAAGACACTGCAGTGATGTCTCTAAGGTTCAAAAAGATAAAAACAGTCAACCTAGAATTCAGCAGAGATAGCTTCCAAATATGGAGATGGAATAAAAGTGTTTCAGACATTCAAAGCTGAAAGAATCCATCAGCGGCAGACCTGTGCTGTGAGAAGTGTTTTAAAAAGTCCTTCAAGCAGAAGAAAAACGACACCAGATGGAAATCTCCATCTACACAAAGCAACGAGGAGCCCCGGATAGGCAACGCTGTGGGTAAGTTTTTTTCTTATTTAAAATTCTCTTTAGAAGATAGCTGTTATGAAAACAAACCTAAAAATGGACTGTGGGTCTTACAGGATAGGTAGTAATACCGTACACAACAACAGCACCCAGTCGGGTAGGTGGGGAGCGGAAACTCGAGCTCCACAGCGGAAAGGGTATGTATGCGTTATTACTTGAAGGAGAGAGAGTGGGGTTCAAAGATGCATTCGGTAGCCCTCAAGGAACCACACACACGAAAAATGTAAGTGTAGCTTTAAAAGCCCATAAAGGAGATAAAGTGGAATTGAGGTCACGGGACCCTGCTGGGGGCTCCTGGCTGCTCACCCTGCAGACAGAGCAGTGGGGTCGGCTCCCCACTCGGGCAGCTCCTCCAGAGCCTCTGCGTGCTGGGAACGGAACAGGGACGGTCAGAAAAGAGCTTCCTCTCCTGCCACCTTCTGGCAGGAAATCTAGCCTATTTTTAACTCAGGCCTCTGCTTAAGTGCTTCTGGTTGGGAGATCAGCGGCCTCCAAGACGCCGGGCCCCCTGGCCTCTGTCCCTGCAGCCCAGGTCGGCTCAGGGCCTCCAGCCCCTGGTCCCAGAGGAGCAGGCTGCCTCACCCCGGCAGCCCGGCTGGCGCATGTGGCGGAGAGCACCTCTAGGGGGCGCCACACGCACAGCTCCAGCGGGTGGGAGTGGTGCGGGGCTGGGGAGCCCGGGTAGGGTGGGGCTCCGGGCAGGGCTGTGGACTGCACCTTCGTGTTCATGGAGGGTGTGCGTGTGTGCCTAGGCTCCACACGTGATGCGAAGAGAGTGCTCTGTGAGGTTTTTGACTGTTCATGCTTGGAACCGTCCGCACAGCAGCCCCGCCCTCCTGATTCTGCTGCCCTCTCCGCCTGGCCTCCGCCCCTGCCCCATAGTGCTCCCAACTGACACCCTAGCTGGCAAGCTGCCATCGTCCTCACGCCTCTGATCCCTGACTCCTCACCCCCCTCTGCCGCAGGCAGCAAAACATCTGCCTTCTCTGGGCTGCGAGAGCCCAGGTTAGCATCTGGGATGCTCTCAAAGTCGCCTGTGGTCTTTCTAGGGTGTAACTGAAAGAACCCCTTGACTCATGTCAGGCCTCGAGGGGCATGCAGGTAACGACCTCATGAACGCAGTGCTGCCAGGACTGGGCCTGCATGCCAGGGAGCTCAGCTGTGCAGGGAGGCCGGGTGTGTGTGGGGGTGCTGTGTCCCCGTGGGAAGTTCTGGGCAGGGAAGGCAGTTGCACACAGCCTCACACACTCGGGGTGGGCTTGGGCCCCTCTGCAGGGGCTTCAGGTCTGGCGCGTGTGTGTGCAGGGGTGTCCATGGCGTGGAAGAGGGATCTCCAGTCTCGCGCTTAGCTCTTTCGTTTCCAGCCAGCACCTCATTGTTCTACCCTCCCTCAGCACAGGGCCGGGCTGGAGGAGCTGTGCTGGGCATCGGAGTCTGAGGCCGGGCCTGGGCTCCTGTCCCTGCACATAGACACAAGCAGGCGGCCTCTGCTCTCCCTGGGGTGTGCGTGCGTCTGAGAACATCCTTGGGATCCTTGGAATTGTTTCTGTGTCTCATGTTGCTGCCTCTGTGACCTCTAGGTCCCCAGGGGTGTGAATGTGGCACTGTCTTGTCTTGGATACCCCCTCCGCTGTCCTTTCCCAGACTTCCGACTGTGCCTGGGTGGTTTGGTTGCTGTCCTTTCTGGCACGACACACTGTTTGTTTAGTTTGGACTGTCAGTTGGTCTGTGTTGGAGAACTGTGTCATCTGTTGGATGCCAGCCTCAAGTGTGTTACCCTGTGTGACCCGAATGCCATTGTGGAACAGGGCACCTGTGAGGCCCTTCCCCTGGCCACCAGTGGGGAGTGTATGAGCGCGTTAGGCAGCGTGACATTGGTATGTGCCTCCCATCCTTGGAGGCCTGTTAGATGTGCACACCTGGCTGTGTGTTGAAGTGGCGGGCGTGTGTTGGTGCTCCTGCCCGCGTGTGCCTGAGCCCTGCGCTCCGGCCCTGTTCGAGGCCCCTTCCACCTCAGCTGTGTAAACAAAGCCCCTGCCTTCCTTTCCGAGGCCCCTCAGGGCTGTCAGCTGTCCCCACCCCCTCTCCTCCAGCAGTGAGTTTGACTGACTGTGTGGGGTTATAGAGTTGTGAGATTAAAAGAGTGGATGTGAGCCGAAGTGTGTGAAGTTGTGTGGGAGTGTGACTGTGAAGCCCGAGTGTCCCCTGCAGCACCAGCCTCTCACAGGCAGGTTGGGGACCTTGGGCCAGTTAAGCAGAGCTCCCTCAGCTTCCTGGACCCATCCAGCCCCCCTTTTACAGCCAGGCTAGGTGGCGACAGTCCTGTAATTGCCTGGGGCCAAATGCTGCCGTGAGGACCAGGCATGTGGGCTGACCCTTGGGGGAGGGGCTGTCCCTGTCCCCACCAGGCCAAACCAGAGGAGACAGAGTGGAGTGGGGGGACGGACGGGGGAGGGGGAGCACGGACCCCAGAGTAGGTGGAAGCTGCAGTGCAGGTTCTGGATGAGCTGACCCCTTCTCCGGCCGGTGTCTCTGGCCGATCCTGTCTGCACTCTTGTGTCAGTGTCACATTTCCCATCTGTTACAGGGGCCGCGTCTACCCTGCCTGTGTCCCGCCACCTCCTGCCTGGGTCGTTGGTGCCAGCCTGGTGCCCTGGCCCAGCACACGTCCCTCACTCCTGTCTGTGTCTTCTCACCCCCTGCCCTGTCCTTGACTCCTGGTTCCAGCTTGGTTTTCACCCCAGTCCAGATTCCCTCCAGTCCCTCCCAGCACCACATCCAGGGCACACGCCCAGCCTGGCGCAGCTTCCCTGGCTCACCAGCTGGACAGAACGAGGACAGTGAGGGAGAATGGGTGGGGTCTGGGGGCTGAATCGCTCTGGCTCTGGGCCAAGCGGGTATGGACAGGCCCAGGTCTGCTTGCAACTCAACAGCAGCTAGAACTTCGGGGAGGGAAAGAAGAGAGCAGGGGCAGGAGAAATTCAGGAAAAGGGAGTCGATGGGGTGCTTGTGGGCTCTGCCGCAGACCTGCGCACAGGGGATCCTGCAGTGCAGCACCCTGCTCCCCCCAATAGCCAACACTCACTCTCACACTTCCGGGACCACAAACCCTTCCCAAATACCACTCACACACCTGGGCCCCCACCGGTGCTGCCACCTGGTGGACGTGGTGCGGACCTGCAGACACAGAGTGGCCAACCCCGCAGGCTGGAGGAAGGCTCAGGCCCCGGCTCAGAGTAAATGCCTGCTGCCTTGACTCCGTCCCAGGCACCCAGAGGAGAGGGCATGGCCGCTCCAAACCTCTTACTCCCAAGCCCAAATCTGGGTTCAGTGTTTGTTGTGGCAGTTGTTTTTCACCCCAGGAGGATAGCAATGGGAAGGCTGGTGTGAATTTGGGGAGACTGATCTGGGAGAACCCTGGTGGGTCGTCCCACTGTAGATGGAACCCTCTTTGTTTGTTTTTGTTGTTGTTGTTGTTGTTGTTTTCCGGTACCGGGAATTGAACTCACGACCTTGCACTTGCCAGGCAGGCGCTGTGCCGCTGAGCTAAATCCCCAGCCCCTATGGAACCCTCTTGATGCCCTCTCCGAGGCAGGCAGATGAGGCAGAGGAGGACAGAAAACCCACTCCTGCGAGGTGGGCAGGGCCTGGCCCTGGAGCTGGCTCTTACGAGCTGCTGGTGCGTCTCCCTGTCTTTCACTTTTCTCACCGCAAGGACCATGCTTTGGGGTGGGGATGCTGACGAGCAGAATGTCCCGGCCCTGGTGCCCAGGTAAGGCGGTCGGAAACAGGCACTAGGGCTTCCCCTTCAGCAGCTGTTGCTCTGTGGTGTTTTTCCCACCTCCCCTGCTCTCTGGCTCAGCCCCACTCCCGAGCTTGGTTCGCTGCAGTCCTAGCCTGTCTGCCCCTAAGTACTGGGTCTCCTTCCTTCCCTCCCACCAGCCCTGGCCCTGGGGCCTGTGGCTACGCCCTCTTACCACTGCCTTGGCCAGGACACCTTGGGCTGTGGGAGCCTTCGCGTTGAAGGCTCTGGGTCACCGGTCTGTCTCTTTCCCTGTGACCCTACCTGCTTCAGTCACTAAGGCCCTGCCTGAGGGGCCCTGCAGCAGGATCCCAGCTTCTGGGAAATGGGAAGGGATCTTTGTGGGGAGTGGTCCTTCCTCCTTGCCCCAGCTGTGGGAGTAAAGAGTTTTCAACTATCCGACTTCAATTTCCAGGAAAATGCCTTCTGGGATGTCACAATATAAGAGAAGAAAAGATGCGGGCTCAGGACCCAACTTCCAGTCCTGGCTCTGCTGTGGACACCTGGCTGGCGGTGGGTGAGTCACTTGTCTCCCTGAGCCTCAGTTGTTCCATCTGTAAATAGGGGGTTCAGATTGTACACTCAGTCCACAGCTGCAAAATTCCAAGTAACATGGGAGGAGGGGGTAACAGGCTGTGGGCATGCAGGGAGGCAGCAGGATTTGTGGGGAAAAGATTCCAGGTGCCACAGATTTTGGCAATAGCCAGACCCACCTTTTGTTCTTGTTCCCGCAGTCCTGGGGATCAAACCCAGAGCCTCCCTGCATGCTAGGCAAGTGCTTCACCTCCACGCTACATCCCCCATGCTTAGCCCCACCTTGAATGCCAGCCCTATCACTTGCCAGGCTGTTTGACCTTAGTCAAAGTGTGCTTTGCAGAAGGGAGGACTCAGAAGGCACAATGCTTAGGCCCTGTCCCCAAATGTCAGGCCCTTTCTCAGTCTTGTAAGGATTTTTGAAACCACAAAGCCCTCCCTAGTGCAGCCCAGCCCTCAGCCCCTATTCTAGCTGGCCCCAGGATCCCAGGAAGCCTACCGTGCGGGCCTGCTGCTCTGCTTCCCTGATGGGATCAATCCCCACCCCACAGCCTTCAAGGTCTTCAAGCTCCTCAAAAGGGTCCTAGGTCTGTGTACCTCCTCCCTAAAGCCATCTCCTTCTGTCCCTAGCAAGGGTGAGCCTCCTCCCATGTTCCCACAGCCCCTGGCATTTAACTGTGTAAGAGCTGGTTATATTGCCGTGTGTGTGTGTGTGTGTGTGTGTGTGTGTGTGTGTGTGTCCAATTGCCACTCACACATCAGCACTCCTTGAATTAGAAACATGTCTGAGGGCAGATGCTGTGTCTTCTCTGCATCCCCGGGCCCCAAGATAGAGCCCAGCACTCGGCAGGCGGATGCCCAGTGGGTATCACAGGGACAGTCGGCTGTAGGAGCCACCTTCTCTGTCCCATCTCCCACTAGGCGGCCTCAGCCCAGGCCACTGGCCGCCCTGCTTCTTTCCCCACCTGCCCTCCGCCCTCCTTGTCCTCTGCCTGGTTCGGCCTTCTGTCCCTGTGCTGTCCTGATCAACGCAGAATACTGTAGTTAGGACCAGCTCTAGCCCGGGCAATGGGCACAGTGTTTGCAACTGAATAAAATTAGAAGGGGTGATGTCGGAAGCGAGCATATTGCAACAGTTATCAAAACAGCCACAGTTTCTGGTATAGTAATATATATGTTTCTTTATTAACACATTAAGAGCATGGACGGTCTAACAACTATGATCATTTCAAAGTAGTGATGAGCATAAATGGTATTTCTGCGATAACTTTATCTTTGACAACTCTAATGCAGTCTGAAAACATCTGTGATTTCTGTTGGTTACAAAGTCACAGGTACTGTTAATACTTTTGTAGCTTGTTGTCCAGCCACATTAAAAAAATGTTAAATTTCAGTTACAGGGGAGTGAAAATTAAAGATGTAATTTTCTTCCTATCTAGGTTCACAAATCCCCAGAAATCCATAGACCCCAGCCAAGAACCTCTGATTACACTGTGGAATGAGAAAAGAACACCTTCAGCAACTGAGGCTTTAACTCCCAAGTCATTTCATCCTTACGCCAACCCTGAGAGATATACATTATAGCCCAGTATACTGATGGGGTACCTGAGGCCCAGAGAGGTTAAAAGGTTTGCCCAAAGTCAACCAGGCCCAGCATGGAGCCTCACGGAGCCGCCTCTCTCGAAGGGGACAAGCCCCAGACCACGGCCTGTAGTGACTCTGGCCCTGAATCCCCCCCAGACCCCTAGCCAGACCCAGGCCCTGTGGGGTCTGATCAGTGAATGCAAGGCTGTGGCCCCTTGAAATCACACACACTCAGTTATTTTTATCTCCAGTTTATTTTTTTAGACTAAGAGCAGAGTATGAAAGTCACAGCCAAAGCACTTGAAAAAGGCCCAGGATGGGTGGGGACCACATAGGGTGGGCACGGCGGGTCCTGGGAGCTGGCTCCCGGAGCAGGGCTGGAAGGGAGGGGCGTTGTTGTCTCACGGTCTCCAAAAGTGTCTGTGCGTTGCATAGGTCCTGTCTTCACAGAAGACGAAAGAGGGGCCAGGGGGTCCCCCGGGGGGCCTAGCCTGGTGGGGAGGGGTCTAAAGCTGGAAGGGGAAGTCAAGAAAGGTCGGGGTTAAGGAGGGAGAGGGACTCTGTCTGTCTGTACATTATATATAGAGATATAGAGTCTGTACATGCCTGCCTGGCACCCCAATGCCCACCCCCTTGCCATCCCTGTCCACTGCCTGCCTCCCCAGGGGTGTCTACTTGTAAACTTGGATTCAATCCAAACCGTAATCCTGCGAGGGGAGGGGGAGGGGGACGTGCTTATTGCTGTAAACAGGGGGAGGGGGCAGCAGGTGGTGCTACCCCTCCCCTACCTAGTCCCCTCCCCCTGCTCTGCCCCAGGAGGAGGGTGACCTGGCACCTCCCACTCTTCAGCTTGCTGTCTCTGGGGCACATCTGTCTCTCTGAGGGGACAATGGGGGAGCGCACCGGGGCAGGGAGAGGTACGAGGGGGCAGGGAGTCCTGAGCACTTCCCTTCGCGGCCCCCGGTTTGGTACCAAACACTACCAGAGGCACAAGGCCACCTGGGACCTGTGGCTGTCCCCGTACCTGGGCCATTGCAGTGCCCTTACTGGAGGGGGGCAGCGGGGGTGGGCACAGATGTATGTGCAGACCCCACTTTCAGCCGTGGAGAGGGGTACGGGCCCACAGCTAGGCGCCCCTTGGACAGCCCACGGCTCCCTGCCCCTTCTCAGCCCCACCCATCTCTCCCTGCCAAGGAGCGGGCAGAGCTAGGAGGCCAAGAGCGTCAAGAGGAAGAAGGCGATGCCCACGGCCAGGGGCAGGTGCTCCCGCTTGGGGCTGGTCCCGCTGATGCTCTTCTCCAGCTTGGGTACCTGGGGGCTCTCTCCCTCGAAGTCTTCTGCGGACAGATGAACAGACAGACTGGTGAGGGCTGGGCCTCGTGCCGGAGCAGGGGCACGCGGCAGCGGCAGCAGCAGTGGAGCCGGGAACTTGGCCACCCACGGGGGCCAGGACTGGTGTCCCAGGGAAGGCATGCGAAATGAGCAGGCACCCGGGAAGGGCTGCGGTCCCAGCAGTGGCCACCAGAGGGCGCTGCACAGACTCACCCAGCACGTTGATCTTCACATTGGGGCCCATGGTGAACTGGGGGAGGGTGGGGACCGGCTTCTCCCCGGAGTGCGATGCTGCGGGGTGGGGTGCGGGTGGGGAGAGAGGAGGGGGAGAGTCAGGGCCAGGGCCCCCTGCCCCTGCTACAGCTGGGGAGCAAGCTCCCCTCGCCTATGCCCTCCGCCCCCGCCCCCAGGAAGCCAAGGGAGCCCCAAAGCAGGGGAGCCGAGGATGGGGCGCGGTGGGAGCCGACGACACTCACTGGAGGCGCAGCAGACGAACACCTTCATCCTTAGACACTTCCAGTGCAGGTTGTGGGTGGGCGTGGCTGGGGAGGAGACAAGGCCTGAGTGGTTGGCGCCCCATTTATGCCTATGCCCAGCGCCTGTCCTCGCCCGCTGCGAGCTGCCCCTTTGAGTAGCCACCGGCGCTTTGGACACTGCGCCCTATGGATGTGCTGTCCTCCCTAGGAGTCCCTTAGTCCCACCCCCCAGAACCAGGACTCCAGAACGTCCGTCACAGAAATTCGACGGCCCAGACTTGGGACTGTCACCAAAGCCCTCTCTCGGAATCATCATCTCGTCTGACCCGGAGCCCCGAGGCCCCGGACCCTCGCCTCCTCCGGGTGCTCACTGTCAGCTACCGAGGGGACCCCACCGCCACCACTCGGTCTGACCTCGGCCCGCACCCCGCCCTCACTCACAGATGTAGTAGTACTCGTGGCCGGCGTGGAACTCGTAGCCCAGCGAGAAGGCGCTGTAGCGCTGGAACTTCTCTGAGAACTTGATGGGGCTATGCGGGGCGTGCGGCCGGTTGCACTCCCAGCGCTTGAAGCCCTGGCTGGCGTTGCAGGTGCGGTAGCCGCTGCGGCTCACCATGTACAGCACGTACTGCTCCGCCCCGCCGCCTGGCCCGGGCCCCGCCCCCGGGCCCGCCCCCGAGCTGTTGTAGTGCGGGCAGTAGATGTCCAGATAGTCGTTCACGTTCACTTGCACCGTGTAGCCCTCGCGCCGCAGGCTGGGGGAGAGCAAGCGGGTGAGGGAAAAGAAACCCCACAGTCAGCCCGCTTTCCGCGCCGCCGCCGCGCAGACCTGCCCCGGAGCCTCGGCTCTGCCCAGCCTGTCTCTGTGCAGAGGGCCTTGCTGCCGCCAGTCTGCTGTGCCCCAGCCCTCCGTGCCCTCGCCTTCCGGGGCTGTCCTCCTCCCGGCGGCCACCAGAGGGCAGCAGAGGCGCAGGGAAGCCCAGCGCCTCCGAAGGAGCCGAGGCAGAGCGAGGGGCGGGGGAAGAAGGGAACTTACGCTTCGGTTGCCACAGAAACGGCGCAGGCCTCAGCGACTCCCGGACCCAGGCCCGGATTTCCTCCGTCCATCCCCCATAACGCGCCGGCCGGGATGAGGGACGGAGGGGATGGCAGCGAAGCGGGAAGGCGGCAGAGAGCCTTCCGTGGAACACACGCCCTCCCTCCACGCTTCCCAGCGCGCTCCCTTGCCGGTCCAGCCCAAGGCCAGTCCAGCAGGACCTGCCCTCCCAGACGCGCGTGGTGCTTCATGCATACACATGCACAGGTTCCATGGCGCACACACACAAAAATGTCCACCGCCCACTCAAGGCGCATACTCGGAGAAGCAGGCTGCACGTGTGCAGAGCCGCTCGCCAGGCCAGTATCGGCTGACCCGAGCAATCTCAGGGTCCCTAGGATCTTGCCACATAGCAGTATTCCTGGCCTCTGTACCGTGAGCCCCACCTACCTCACCCTGAGGCCATGGACCACAAGGTCCCCAATATGACAGACTGGAGGCCAAGGGTCTCAGCACCAAGCCCCTTGCAGCATCGTCCCAAGCGGCCAGCGCTCCTGTCTCATCACACACCTCCCTCCTCCCCCTGGGGGGCACTGGGGCACAACACCAGACAAGATGGCTGTGCCTCTCACTTCTACCCCTCTGTGGGACAGAGCAGCAGATGCTGGGTCCCTCATCATCCTCGCCTGCCTTGCTAGTCATCATCAGTGTTGGTCTGAATACCCTCTGTGGTGGTACAGAGTGGTGTAGGCATAGGGGACGCCGAGGAGTGTTTCTCAGCCCTGCCCTCCTGGGGTAGGAATGCACACACATGGGCAGTGAGGACCAGGACGGTGGACACAGGCAGGCATGGGTACCTGGCAAAATGTCAAACTACTGGGGTCCCTGGTCCCTGGGAGCTGGGGGGCAATGGCTCTCTGTCACCAGACACCACCCAGTTTTATAAACAGTAATTAGACGCACTAGGGAGATGAGCTTGGAGGTCTCTGCATAGCTCACGGCTTTACCCTACTTCTCGAGCTTTACCTGTGCTGCCCCCTTCCCAAGTGCCCCTTCCAAGCCTGGCAGTGAGGCAGATGGGTGGGAGCTGGTTTGGAGCACCCAGAAAGATGGGCACAGCCTCCTTGAGTCATCAGTCATGCCACCGGTCCCACTTGGTTCCCATGGGAGTGACGGGTCACTCAACCCCTCCCTGGCCCTGGCACCCAGGTGGGCAGGAGTCTCAGCCTGGGGCACTGGGAGCTGGAAAACGGGTTAGACCAGGCCTGGCTCCCAGCCACCACCCCAGCATTGCCTGTCCATCCCTACCCGGCATTCTGCAGTTCCTCCCTCAGGCTTTGGGGAGGGGGCTGCCAGTGTTATGGTGCCAGCCTGGAGCAGACACACAGCCACACTGCGGCCTCTGTCCTGGAGGCCGGCCCACGACTCCAGTCCCTTTCGGAAGCAGCCTCTCCCTGCTGCGCCACCCAGTTCCTCCTACCACACACCCCGTTCCTGTAGGGAGCAGCCCAGCGCCAGAGATTCCTACAGGTATCTGAGTTCTCTCAACAGGGTGGGACCAGCCTTATAAAAAGGTGGCTGGATGACCACAAGGAAAGGGAAGCCACTTCTTAGGATTCCTGTGCTCATGGCAGGAAAAAGCCCCCGAAATGCACCCCGAAGCTGGGCATGTTGGAGGATGTCCTACTTGGAGGGGCGGCTGTGTGCTCAGTTGGTATCTGGTGGACAGGGGTGAGAAGGGCTGGCTGCCAGAAGTCCTAGGAGACCCAACCTGTCTGCTTGGCTGGGGCCCTTTAATTGAATCGGTCACGTCCCTGCCCGGTAGGGCAGAAGCAGGTGCCGCTAGGCCTCTCCGAAGCTCGCCGCCCGGCGGCACCCCCGCGGCGGTGGACTGGGTTGGGCCCTGCCCCTCAGACAGCTCCCCCCGCTTCCTCCTCCTCCTCCTCCTCCTCTTCCTCTCACCTCTGCGCAGAAAGGCTGGGGCCAACACACCTGTCTAGAGTGCGCCCCCTGCCCATCACCCCGTTATTTCAGTCCCTCCTGGGCCGCACCGCCCCAGGTGCATCCCGACCCTTCTCTTACTGCTCGCTCTGAATGGAGAGGGTGCACGTCGCGGGAGCAGGGAAGGCGCAAACTTCTCCCCCCGGGGCAATTAGGGGACGGGAAAACAGGGTGTCTAACAAGACCAGGGAGTAGGGAAAGGATCCCAAGCGGCCGAGAACTTGTTAAATCCCAGCCCCCGCCTTAGACGCGGGATGAAGAGTTATGGGAGTGGAGGAGGAGGGCTGTGAGGAGACCGGTTCGTCCCTCCAGCGCGCGCCCCCGAGGCTGCGCGCCGCCCGCCCGAGCCGGCGAGGCCAGAGCACGTGTGCGCGGCGTGGGGCC